CTGTCGTGTGAAGGCGTTGATTAGTTTCAAATGAGGGATGTAGCTCTTTATTGTCGCTGGTACTTTTGTTTTGGGTGATTTATGCTCTTATCGATGAAAGTTCGGAATATTTTTGCTGATTTATCAAAGACAGTATTGATATGAAGTTATTGAAGGCAGTCCAACTGAGTTTTAGCCGATGAGTTGACCGAACTGTCGGTCATGTCCCTAAGTGCCGCAGGTTATCGCCAAATTTGGCTTTGTGGTGCTGAAGGTCCTTTTTTATTTCGAGCGGCATGTGTGTGTGAGGATTTCCTTCGTCTATTAAGGACACTGATGGTTCGGGTTTGTGCGCGCTTCAGGGTGTTCCGGGAAATTAACATCAAAAAGCTGGTGGTGCTAGTTTCACCCATCTGCTCTCTGGCGTTGAGCCAAAAAATGAATGTTGCTATGAGAAAAGCGGTGTGGACAATGTTTTTGACAGCCTATGTTTAGACATTTTCAGTCATCTTTGGTTGAATTCGGATGCATCACCATCATTTGTTGGCTGTGGAGTCACCTCCACTCACACTGAACACATCTTATTACTGTGAAGGGAAGTTGGTTTTAGGGGTAACAGTAGTGATAAAATTCAAATTTCTTACAATTCTTCCTTGCGAGTCAGTTCGCGGTAGATGTCTATATTTCGGATGTGCCCTGAGAAGGGCAGTTTTTTGTCCTAAAGTTTTTCGTGGATGGATTGAGAAATTTCGCCAGTTGTGTTGATGTGTACAGAATCCTCTCACTGTCCCCAAGACATCAAGAAAGGATAATCGGGTTTTGTAGCTGACTCCGTCATAGATGAAGCTGACGCTTGAGTCAATCAGAAACGAGTTTTTTAGGCCACATACGTGCTGATAACCCTGTCCCGGTGTGGCACGTTTACGCCATTCCTGCCATATTCTTGCTGCGCTTACCGTGACCTTTGTCATCGATACTTCTACTGCAGGGTGGTGGTGCGGACAGCTCGGCTCTATTCGAGGATGAGGACACGCGTTTATTTTACGAAAGTCTTCAAGACATTCGGGCTATGATCCCTGCTGTGAGTTTCGCAAATTAATGTTAATAACTTGGAAACCTGTATTGGTATTTATTCCCTTTCTTCTGTAGATTTTATATAAAGAAAGTGAACAATCCACATCAAAGAGTGCGCAGCCCCAAAAGGATGATCCTGCTTCTACGGACGAATCCTCAAACGATGGTAGACGATGTTACCTATTTCTTTGTTACGCTGCTAGTGCTTACAGGATGTTCTTTTAGGTATTTAGATTTGCGTGGTTTGCCGCTTTTAGACTGCGGTGGAATTAGTTTATTTGGTAGCTAGCACGTTTGTAGTCTCACCAACGGTATTGTCACTTAGCAAAGGTCAAAGCCTTGTTTGTGTTGCTGTAAATTGTGTCTAACCAACTTTGCTTCAAGTGCACAAAATTGAATAACAAATGGGCAAGAAGTCGGAAAATGCAAGGTCCCCACTGTTGAATGCGCATCACGAATAAATATCGTTCTGTTGCATATCGTTTCCCCCCTCTAGCAATGCCCTTCCCATTCCGCATGTCATTCCTCTGTCTCTGTCATCGCAAAACAATTGAAACTCTGAAGGCAAAACAGAAGAACATGGTGTATTATTTGAATCGCAGTGCGACTTCATTTGATTTCGAGGATGGTGATGCACCAAGTTAATTTTCAGGAGAGATTCACTCGCCGCATAATCTTTATCAGCCACGCTTGTTGTTTTGTTTTGCGAGACATCTGTGTTGAGATATAATTGCTTCGTAAAATGCAGAGTATGGTGGGCGGATGGTGAAATTTTTGTACTCTACCCTCCTAACAGCGTTTCCATCGTTGCATTGTTGTTTAGCGTTTTTATTTGCGAAGCAAACACTTTTAGTATGACATTAGTCATTTGATTTTTTATTTAAGAATTGAAGTAGTTATGATGTAAGAAGTTCTCAACTGGTCTGATTCTCTTTTGGTCTATCACTAATCATTACGCAGACCTGCGATCTTGCTAT